GTTAATCTTTGTAGCTCCTCGTCTCTCTCGGCGGTTACTGTGGTGTCGTCTGCATAATATAATATTTGGATTTCTTTGTTTCCCATTCTGCAACCATGACCTTTACGTCCTGCTTTTAATATTTCGTCTATTATTGTATTAAAGATAAAAAGGCTTAACGAGTCACCCTGGTTCACAACGCTTTGTACTGGCAGAAACTCTGATAGTTTTCCATTTATCTTGTCCTGTTTTTGATTATGGAAGTAGATGTTTTCGATGGTTTGTATAATATTAACTGTTATGTTTATTTTATACAGTAGATGTACGACTTCTTTGACTTGGATGCGATCGAAAGCCTTTATCAGGTCTATAAAACATGAATTTACAAACAATTGTACAAATACTTAATGATCTACAAACAATCAAATATGAAGAAATAAAATGGATTGATATGTATTTGTAAACGCTCTTTCGGAGAGCCCTCAGGGAAGTGAGTAAAGGAATGATTATCAATAAATCAATATATTCTTCGATTGCTACTTTTGTCTTTATTAAAGATTTCTTTTTTAAATCAATTTAAAATCAATAATTGAACAATAAAGTGAAAAGGTTGATTAAGAAGTTCTTATTATAACCACTAGAGTGGGGTTCTAATTACAGTGTCGTACAAAAAAAATTGAGAAATTTAGTGTAATGTTCGATTCTACCAAAATTAAGAATAAATTTCCACTTAGCTGTTAGAAAGTCTATCTTCTTGAGTTCTGGAGACTCGATCCCAGGTGATTACTTAATATTTATTATTATTTCCTTTAATAATCCGATGTTTTAGGTTCTTTCTCTCTTATGGACAATTGGATAACATCCGATCCTAACTAATATGGAAAACTGATAGCCAATCCCTTAAGGAGTCGCGAGATTATAAATATAAGTTGAAAAGATGATCAAAATGGTTTGAGATTAAATCACAGAGTAAAAATAAAAGGCATAAAAAAACGTTATTAAGTTTAAAACGTAACTAGTTATTTATTTTTTTCCGAAAGAAAACCTACCTTTGTTCAAATAAAGTGGCCTAAAGTGTTTCTAATTCGAAATTAATTTATAAAATCGAGTTTCTTTTGTCACTGCTACAACTATTAAATTTTCGGAAAACTACCAAGAAAACTCTAGAAAAGCCGCAAAATTGCGTTGTACGTTCTGCACGAACCAATACTTTTCCATACAAAAAGACCACCAAAGAAAGGAAAAGAAAAAAATTAAAGATAAGTTTTTTTTTATCTGGCGCCAGCCATTGTCCAGTAAGAATTTATTTAAAATAAGTTGTTGTACTACTAATAGGATTGAGATCTGTTTAAAAGTACAAGAAGAAGAATTCTATCAAGCTATTTTTGATATTAACCTTTAAAATAAGAAATAGGCTTTTTTTAGAAAGGAAAGAACGAATAGATCATCTCAGAGACCAAATAAGACTTGGGAATGCATTAATTTTCCATGAAATCTTGTGAAGTTGTTAACAATTATTTAGCCAAAATTAAAATAATAAAACTTTATTTCAATAATTTATTCTGAATTCTTTGGACCTGTAACAGGATCTAACAAAAGATGCTTAAACACCACTCTCCGTCACAGATTCCCTATATTTAAAAAGAAGACTTAACTAAATACTATGAAATTATAGACATTGATGGTTACTATACGAATCACACCCCGATTTTTATTTTACATTTTCCTATTATTTATTCTAAGTCGTTAATATACTTCCATCTATACTTACTCCCAACTAATAATCATTCCACCTGATCCATAACTAATCTACAATTCAGAACTTTTTTCAAAAAGTAGCAAATATAAATTTTTAGTAGAGAATGCACAGAATAATGACTGCATTTTCCAAATTCTCCACTTAATCAATGATAGAAGAGATATTACAGTCCATCCTTCCAATCCTTTTACGATTTAGTTTTTTTAAGCTACGCAAACTAAAAAAAGAAAAAGATAAGCAGAATCCAACTACAGCAAAAGACATCCCTGACCAAAGCCAAGAGTTCTCAAAAACAGTACACAGAGTTTTGTTCGTCCCTCGCAAAGGTTCCCAAATATGTAGGAATTACTATACAATAACCCCGATTTTCAGCGGTATTGTGATCCAATATTCCAGCCGATCAGCAGTTTTGACACAAATTACAGACAGATCGTAATCAATTAATTTCTTATAATTACTGCAAATTTCTGTTTGCAAGTCAGTTATAATTTAATTAAATAAAGTGCTGTTACTCTGTTAGTTGTATTCTTAAAAGGACCATTTTAAAAAGTACCTTTAAAAGTACCAACACATTTTACGAGTATATTATTAGCTACAAACTTTGAAAAATAATTCAATAAATACCAGAACTCATGGATGGCAAATGACTGATAAGGGATGGCAACAACTACAGACTTTGGAGCCAGTTAATCCTAAAGTCCGCCAAAAACATTCAAATTGGTCCATTATTACTGGAGAATTCATAAAATATTCAAGAGATTTTGTCTTCAAGTTTTCATTTTCACTTTTAATCGTTCCTAGCTAATTGCCAGAACTTTCTACATTTAATATTCCTTTTACAAGATACTTTTAAATCGTTATTTAACATAAAAAATAATTTATTCCCTATATCTACAGTGGTAATTGGCGAGTTGAAGAGTTAATTGGGTTATTACCGAAGTTTATACCGCAGTATATATCTCAATGTTTGTAAATAAACAAATATCTCAGTTAAATAATTTTCCTAGTACAGCTGTCTTTGTTACCAGCGAAAAGTTTATTTCAGTAGCAGTTTTTTGAGTAGCAAATTTTTAAATTATCTATTTATTTTTGTTTTTTTTTTCAATAACGTAAATAAAAACTGTCAAAAAAAGTCTAAAAAAAGATTTTTAAAAAAAAAATCTATGAGGACGACTTTTTTGAGGAATCTAAAAAACTAATATTTTACTAATTTTAATGTTTCAATTAAAGTTTGTTTTGACACAATCAATATTGTGTAAAATAATTACAATAAGCACATGTTACTATTTGCTACAGTTAATCTATAAGCTTAGAACCTATGACTAAATAATACAGCAGTTTTATCACAAGTTACAAGTTCAATTACATGGAAAACAACGAGTCATATTCTTTTGAACAACTGAATGTCTTTTAAAAAACCAATTAGGTTAAAGACTTGATCGGGTAAATTTGAAAGGTCTTTGATATTTGACTTAAATTTATGTTGCACAATTGTGTTTTGCCTACCGGGGACATTCAATCAGGATGTGTTTCACAGTTAATACACTTGAGCAGATTTGGCAATTGGGCTTCGGCTCGGACTTGATTAAGTATTCAGGTGTGAATCGGTTATGTCCTATACTTAATCTTCGGATGACAGCTTTTTCTTTTCTAGAGATTGTTGGAAGTTCAAATTTTTGTCTGCCGGATCTCATGTAATGCACTCATTGTGTTCCAGTGAGTTTGTCAGGTATGATATTGTTTTTGCTTAAAAATTTGCTTTAGGTCATTACGGATTTAAATATGTTGGATTTTTGAGGATTGACTGTTTACACAAGAAGCTTGCTTGGCTGCTTGGTCTGCTTTTTCTTTACCGGGAATGCAGATATGGGATGGTGATCGTGACATTTACACCTTGAAAAGCGAATACACTGTAAGTTCTAATAATTTCTTGAAGTAAGTGATGCCGAGAGTATACTTTTTATAGAGTGTAGTAACGATAGGGATTTTGTGCATAATGCTTGGTTTTTATCATCTGTTGTTAGTTTTTTAAAAGCTTCTCGTATCCCATAAAGTTCTTGAGTATATAAGCTGCATAAATTCGGTAAAAAAGATGATTTTATTATTTCATCATATGTGGTAACGGCACATCCAATGCCTGCTTCGCTTTTGGAGGCATCTGTATACAGAATTTTTTGGAATTGGTTCTTGCTAACGATTTTTTCGAAGTGTTACCCTATGAGAAGGCTTGAGGTGTCATGTTTACTGTATTCTAATAGAGAAGTTATTGAATGTGGGATTGGTCTGTTCCAAGACAAAGTATCTGGGATTGGGAAGGGATGTGTTTTAGTAAGATCGATGATTAGGCGATATTGGGACCGTGCAAGTTCGGAACAGCGACACCTGGTGTCGTAAATCAGCAAAATTCACGGCGCTTTCATGTTAGATCGATGTTACCGGATAACTGTCAAGGACGTAGCCCCAAAAAAGAATAAGAAGAAGAAGTAAGATTGAGGTTATGTCGGTATGTTATTAAAATGTAAACGTTGTATTAGTGTAAATACAAATAGATATATTATTAACTTACAGCATTACTGTTAATATGGATGCAATAATAAAAACTGGATTTGAGAAAGTAAATCACCAAATAACTTTTAAACCAAGCACTGAGTCAAATGGAAAACCTTTAATAGTGGCAAATGTCAAAAAAGAATGGAAGAATTATGTGGAAGAATTAAGAAAAATAAATTACTATAAATAATGCTAATGCATAAATTAGCAGGTTAAGCCAATGATATCATCATATTTGTTTGAACAAATTAATTCTTTCCCTGTAAACTTTTGGACAGCGAATATATCTTAATGTTAAATGAAAATGTTGACGTTAATTTTTTTTGCTTTTTTCATAAGGTCTTTAATTTTTAGTTACTTTTAAAATTCAAAATTTTTATAGTAATAAAAGTTGTATACATTCAAAAACTTTGTTCGATTTTTAATATGATTTATTTATTCACAAATAAATTATTTCTACAAAGAAGTATCATACAGCCATTTATACCGTGCAGATGGTTTTAAAAAGCTCAAAAAAATATATTGTACTGGCACTTATTATTACTGTTAAAAACATAAAGTCTTAATAAAATAAAATAATTCACAAAATATCTTTTTAAATATAATTTATCTAAAATCCTTTCTGTTGACTAAGTTTCATAATTGTTACTAGTTTAATAGTTTTTTTAAAATTTCTTAGAGCTTTTTAAAAATATCCAACAAGCGCATCTTTTTAATGAATCAAGGAGGTAGAGTACGCCACAGGCGCAGCAAGTTTGGCAACAGGAGCGGCATAGGCTAAGGGAGCAGCAAACTTGGCGACTGGAGCAGCGTGAAAGACAGGAGCAGCATGTACTACTGGAGCAGCGTGTACTACTGGAGCGGCATGTACAACAGGAGCGGCATGTACAACGGGTGCAGCGTGAACTACGTGAGCGGGTGCGGCATAAGCTACGGGTGCAGCTACCTTAGCAACAGCGGGAGCAACTACAGCTTTAGCTACGAGAGGTTCTTTGCGGACGACGGCGTTGAAACCATTAATTGGATCAGCGGTGTAGTCGACGGTACGACGGGTGCCATCAGGGTCGGTCAATGAGTAGGATCCTTTAAAATAATAGATTTTTAAATACATAGATTCTAATTAACATTTATATTTTACTTGATGGTTATAAAATAAAGAAGTTTTTGTGTGAACTGGAGAAATCTCGTAGAAAAAAGTGTTGATTATTTGCTTTAGTAATAAATATAACATTCAATAATATAAATTATTATTATTAATAATATTAATTATTAAAGGCAAATTAAAATAATCTGCTATGCAGATGACGCAATACTACCCTCTCAAAGTGAGGATGATTTACAACGTATGCTGCACCAATTTAAATATCTAGGCATCACATGATTTAGCTACAAAAAGCTCGAAACTGAAGTGGAAGATCAAGTAGATAGAGCAAACCAAGCCATAGGCTGCCTGAATAAAACAATATGGAGAAATAAAAATATCGGGAAGGAAACGAAAGACAGAATTCACAAAACAGTCATCAGACATGACCTAACAAAGTGAGGAGAGAGAGGTGAGAAACAGCAAACAAGAAAACACTTGATAGCAAAAAATTGATAGCAACACACTATGGGACAGAGCTAGAAGTACAGATATACGGCGTGAATGCAAGGTAGAGAACATCAAAAACTGGGTAAGAAATAAAAGAGTAAGGCAAGAGACTGTTCTCCAATAGGAAGATGATCAGTGGAAAGGTCACAAAAATGATGGAATGAAAACTTTTTGGAGGCACATTGAAAAACAGAAACACAAAACAATAATATAAATTCTGGAGCCATATTTTTTGGTCCGAGAACCCTCGTCAATTATGTAGGGTATTTGAATCAAAGTTGAGACGGTCATAATGATTTCCAACCACCAATAGTAAAAGAAATTTGAAAAGAAGGAACTCACATCTTTAAACTCTGGGATACATCGAAGTCTGTTTTGTTATTGTTTAATGCAAATTGTACAAAATCATTCAAAAAATAGATATGTAAGTCTTGTTTTTATAACATACCTTGTACTATATCTCCGTTTCTGGTCTCACTTTGACTCTTGCTATCTCCAGTCAAGCTATCTTCGACTTGGTATCCGAAGGAGTACTGTGGGTTGGGATCGTATTCTTCAGCAACAACAGCCTTGGCGACGGGAGCAGCAACAGCTACTTTAGCAATAGCAGGAGCTACTGGAGCGGCGTAAGAGTATGCCGGAGCGGCGTAAGATATGGGTGCATGATGGAAAACCGGAGCTGCTAGTGGAGTCGCTAAGGGTGCGCCAATAAGGCCTGCTTGGGCAACAGCGAGCAGAGTGGTCAAAACTACGAACTAAAATTATATTTGTTAGCACATATAAACACGAATAACTTTTCTTAAAGCACTTATATCTGAATATGGTTACTATTAACATAAGACAGACTTATAGTTAGATAATAACCTAAATTTTAATTAGAAAAAATTCTGTTTCTTTTCAGTATATGCTTTATTAACACAACTTATTTACCCCTCATATACTTTTAAGATATCAGAGATAATGGACCAATATTATTTGATAAAATTATACATTGGTTAACCCAGTACCAATTTTCCATACTAATTAACCTTCCACCGCTGGCGCTTATAATCAGAACACTGAGGCTGGCGCGCAGGGTATTTGTCCAAATATATTTTTGTCAAACCTTTTGGCTTTAATTTATTCTAGTACCTTCAGAAATAATTTAAGTAGATGGTAATCAACTATGTAAAAATGATATAATACCGCTTAAGCATTGACTTTAATATCAAATTTTAAAATAGTAATATCGGGAATACATTCTGAAAAAAGAATTATTAAAAATCAAAACAACTAATTAGATTTAAGTTACTCAAAAAAATTATCCTCAAAACAATCTGGGCAATTATAGACAGTGTGATCACCACACTGAGAAAGGCAGTAGTGAGAAAGGACGTACGACTATATAACACAAAAAAGATTACAACGGTTGTCGAGAAAAATAAAACTTTAAAGGTGCTGAAGAGATGTCAAGCTCTAGGTAAGAAGAACATTGTTAAGCTCGCAGATCGAAATGGAAAAGTGGTAACAGATAAAGATAAGATAATTAAGGTAGTTGAAGAATTTTACACAGAATTATATAGAGAAAGGGGGAAGAAAGACGGCACCAAGTTGAGAAAAGTCGAGAATGTGGGTTCAGAGGATATCCCAGAAATAACAATCGAAGAAGTCTTAAAGTCATTAAATAGAATGAAAAACAATAAAGCAGCTGGTCATGATCAAATCGTTATTGAGGCAGTTAAAGCAAGAGGGAAGACAGTATTGAAAGCATTAACGCAATTATATAACTCATGCCTCTCAAACGAGGTTACACCATCTCAGTGGAATAAAGCTGTTATAGTAGTCATGCACAAAAAGGGAGATATAACAGAGCTAAAGAACTATAGACCTATTAGCTTGTTATCTCACGTTTATAAGTTGTTTATGAAGATAGTAACTAATAGGTTGACATCAAAACTAGACTTCTATCAACCTTGCGAGCAAGCAGGATTTAGAGCTGGATATGGAACAAATGATTATTTGCAAACCATTAAGTCGTTGATTGAAAAAACCATTGAATATAATAGACCCCTGATACTTGTCTTTGTCGACTTTGAAAAAGCATTTGATACGTTTAATCAAAGTGAAATGCTCCAAGCTCTAACACAATGTAGAATAGATCACCGATACATATCTCTCATCAGATACATCTATCAACATGCTACAGCCTGTGTCAGACTTAATGAAGATACTGGGACTTTTCGTATTGAAAGAGGCGTTCGGCAAGGAGACAACATGTCTCCTAAATTATTTACAACTTTGCTAGAATACGCTTGTAAAACAATAAATTGGAACGAAAAGGGCATCAATGTAAATGGAAAATTTTTAAATAACCTTAAATTTGCAGATGATATCGTTCTTATTGCAGACAGCTTTGATCAGGCACAGATAATGCTCCAAGAACTTCATACTGCCACAAAACAAGTTGGTCTTAAAATAAATTTTTCAAAAACACAATTTATGACAAATTTAGTCCACAACAAAAACATCTCAGTAGAAGACAAAGATATTGAGCCAGTTGACTCCTATAAATACTTATGCCATAAGATCAGAATAAGTCGAGACAACCAAACAATCGAGCTGAAAAGAAGAATAAACCTCGCTTGGGCTGCATTTGGAAGGATGAAGGATATTTTTAGGTCTAAGATTCCAATGTGTCTGAAAAGAAAAGTATTTAATCAATGTATTTTGCCAGTGATGACCTACGGCGCAGAAACCCTAACGCTCACAAGAACAACAGTGAACAAACTACAAGTTGCGGAAAGAGCAATGGAGAGAATTATGTTAGGGATTTCTCTACGTGATAGAATACTCAATGCTACTATACGCAAAAGATCAGGAGTAGCAGACGTTATTGAAAGGATAACAACATTAAAGTGGAACTGGGCAGGTCATGTAGCAAGATCAGTTGATGACCGGTGGACAAAAAGAATTTTGGAATGGAGACCCCGAAAACAAGCTTACAGAAATAGAGGTCGACCCCCAACGAGATGGACAGATGACATAAAAAGAGTGACTACAAATTGGATTCAGATGGCGTAAAATCGGACTAAGTGGAAAAGCATGCGAGAGGCCAATGTTCAGCAGTGGACGTTAGAGGCTGGTTGATGATGATCACCACACATAAATTTTCCACATTATTTGAATTTGCGACAGGTAGGTCTGTTTTTGGTGATTTACAGGATCTACCTAAGTGATTTCTTTTATTCTCGCTGACATGATACGTGCTATATTTGCCTGAAAAGCTCAAACGTTAAGCTGCGGTTCTCTTTACGTGGTAAACGAATCTCATTTTTCTTACAATAGAAAAAAACCATAGAGTTTATACCAGCTAAATTTAGCATGGAATAAATAATCACCATTGACCATCATCGAGCATTTCTAGCACCGTCATAACATAAGGCAGCGCATAACTTGCTTACTGTGTCAACTTAATTATCGTATTGAATTAAATCCTCATCAATCATATCGTCATGATGTAAACTAGACAGGAGGAGTAATTTTATTTCTTTTTGGTATATAGGACACCAAAGTAATATAATTTTAAAAAGCAAACATCCTAGATCTAATAGGTTGCTTATGGGTTTAGAAAATTCATGGGGTAATTCTTTCTTATTCTTGTGACCCGTTCCTAGAAATGTAAGTTTGTAATCACGAAGCAAGGTTTCGATTATTGGTATGCTTGAAAACCAATAGTCCGCAGTAATTCTCCGGTTTTTCCTCTTAGATGTTCATATAATCTCTTTACTACTTTCGATGGTGAATTATTTACAACAGAATTGCAGGTATAAAAGGTCTTCAAGTATGCTAGCGCAAAAATTTTTAGTCCATATTTATTTGGTTTATTAGTTATATACTATTTAAAACTGCATTGACCTTTAAATGCTTTCAATTTTTCATCTATTGTGACGTATTCAAACGACATATAAACGATTTTGCAATTAAAAGTAAACATTTTAAGAATCTCTCATATGGGACCAAATTTATCTAATAGTTTTTTCCTTACGTGAGTCTATATCATCAAACTTTATGTATTGTAGTAAAATTTGAAATCGGTACCTGGACACTGTTAGTCGAAACATGTCAAGTACCGTCTTCATTCCAAAGTTTGTCTGTGCCTAACCTGTCACTTTTCAAAACAACTGCCAAATAGAGTACGAATTTCTAAATCATCTATTTCCTTTGCGTTTCTCTCTTGATTATAGTTTTCTTGGTATCGTTAAAAAAATATTTTCAAATATTTATTTCACCTTTTAAATTCTTGGTAACTACTTTAGCTCTTGACAAATGCGTAATTAAGTTTTCTGGACGTGTTCTAACATTTCTGGGAGGAATGTGTTTATTTCAATTAGTAGTTGTGTCTTTACCAAGAAAGAAAGGCCCAGCAGAAACCATCAATTCAGCACCTTCCATATCAAAAATTTCTTTTTTTCTATCACTATTTTTATCCATTTGTTTTGTGTTATTTTCTTCTTCGTCTTCTTCTTCGTCATTATCGTACTTAATATTTTCATTCTCTTCGTAGACTCGAAGGCATTCGTCCAATATATATTGCAAACGTGTTTGTTCTGCCCCATTTGCATGCATTTTAAAATGTACAAAACTAACAAATGAAATCGTAGGCTTCCACGGCCAGAGTATCTTCGTAGACTTCCACGGATTCACTCCCCGCCTCTCGACGCGTTAGTGTTCTGAGCTGTTGGACGTGAATCCCTGTCCTGGCATTTGGTTTTCACCTCTGGCTGCGTTAAGTAGTTGAATTACTGTGACCAAATGCCCATCTTGGTAGTTAGTATTCGCCTCTGGTTGCGTTGAGTAACTGAGTTACCGTTGCTAACTACCCATCTTCCTGTCTTTTGATTTATTTTTCTTTGTTCTCCTGAAGAAGCTACATACAATTGTAGCAAAACGTCGAGATGAACCTACTTTTGGGTCATTCACAAATGACACGGTCCAAACCCGGAAGACGAATAAACTATAACTAACAAATGTTAATAATTTCAGAACAGTATGCACAGGATTTATCCACAATTACTAATAGCTTGACATCAACGAACGGGATGCGACCTACACTTGTTATGAATAAATCAATTACAATTTGTAGGAGGTACATGGGCGAACCAGAAAAAATAGTGGGTAGTTTTTGAAAAATTAAGAAGGTTAGATCGGCGTGGAGATTTCGTCCCCGCGCCAGCCGTAGAAGGTTAAATAAAAAAATTTCCAACCAAATAAAAACAAAAAAGATGAAGAAGACTTAAGAATAGCAGAGAGAAAGATTATGAGAACCATACTAGGAATAATCAGAACAGAGCAAAATGAATATAGAAGCAGAACAAATGCAGAAATTAAGGAAAAACTTAAGGAAGACATCGTAACTAAAATAAAGCAATGCAAAGTTAGATGGTAAGGTGACATTTGGCGAGCAGGCGATGAGGCAGTGACATAAGCAATAATAGAATGGAATCCAGGAGGAAGAAAGAGAAGGGGAAGACCGAGATCAAAGTGGCTGCAAGAAGTTGAAGAAGACCTTTAAAGGGCAGAAGTCAGTTAATGGAGAGAAAGAACTAGAGACAGGAAAAAATGGAGAGATATTGTCAAAAAGATAAGATAAACAAAAAAAGACTGATCTACTTGAGAAATAGGATCTAGAAAGCATTTGCGGTTTAACCCCACACTGGGGTGTATAGCCATTATATATAAATAAAAACAAGCAAGTCTGAAAATAAAAAGAAGGACAACCTCTATCATAAAAGATAAGAAAAGAATAAGTAATTTTAAAAATACCTTCAATTTCATGCTCAATCAATCATAAAGAATATAAGAGTTACAAAATTCGTTATTATTTGATTAAGAAACGTGTAAACAAAGTAAAACCATTTATAAATGCCAGCAAAATTATCTAACCATCTGTTTGTGAACCCTTACAAAGAAAAAAACATAAAAGAAGCAGTAATAAATTTTGTTTGTATTTAATTAATAAATTTGTCTATTCCAGTTGACTGCTCGGCGAAATACCGGACCCATCCATAATTTTGTTTTACACAGACCGGCGAAATTTGGGTAATGATAAAATTATTAGACGCTAATGAAATTAATTATTTGGAAAATTGGAAAATGAGCGAATAATTTCGTCCCTTTTCGTTTAATTCCAAAAAGGAAATTTGAGGGGAGAAAGTTTTGCGTCAGCGAAATGCCAACATCTAATGAAACGACGAAGGCCTTTATCTAACATTTTTTATATGTCTTGATTTTAAGGAAAGTTTTTAGACCGCTCATTTGGCAATTTTCAAACAAATGACCAATTTACATAAAGTGTTTACGAAATTCAAGCTAACGCCATTAGGACCATTTTATTAAATTGTTTATTAGTATATGTTTAGTATCTGGCTAACACGTGATTGAAAATTGAAGTCAATCCAGAAGAAAATATTGAGCGATACATGACTAACTAGGTTTTGGAACTAGAAACTATGTTGGAGATGGTATGCTGGAACTGGCAGTGGCATTAGAAATGTTGGATAATTGCAGAGTAATATTAAGAGCAACGTAAGATGATTGCGTTAAATATTGAACCAGACCTAAACCAGAAGATCGGCAAAAATACAAAAAGATGTTAAAATGTCAGATGGGGAACATAAGAAAAGAGTATAGTAAAAAATGACTTGGTTTATGATACACTGCTAATTCGAATAATTAGAACACTTAATATAGAATGTTGTGGAAAATAAAAAAAGAAGGAGAAGCTGTTTAAAGACTAAAGAGAGATTATGTCTGAGAAAGCTCGCCAAAAAAAAATGGTTTTGGGAATCATGTAAATATGATAAAGTTGAAGCAGCTTATCTTTCTGGAGAATGTAAGAAGAAATATTAACAAGGTGGCTGTCATAATAAAATCATATAAGTAGAACTCTGTGTATACTCCATTAGTATTTTAATAACATATTGAAGAATAAGAAACGAAATGACAAAAGCGGGTACAAGCGGGTTGTGACACTATTTATTCATACCATAAAATGATAGGGAAGAATTTCAAAAATTTATGAAAGGCAGATTAACAATAAACACTTTAATTACTATTTATAACTGGGAATAAACCACAATTAAAGATAAAAATACGTTTATTGACGTTTCAATTTCCAATTCGGAAATCGTTCTCAAAATACAAACAGTAAATTAAACAAATTTTGTTTTTTGTTACATAGTGAAAAAATTCTTCTAATAATTTAATTTTATCTGACTCATTTATATTGACAATTCAGACATACATTATGCATTTTAAAGTAGACAGGAGAATTTTACTGTCATCATGTCATGTGTTTGTCTTTTTAAAGACGAATTACATGCTGTGATTTTTTCTGACGGATATTCTCAAGTTAAAGTTGATTTCATGTAATCGAATGAACTATCTTATAAGTAAAGTCGTCCCAGGAGCGCAACTCAACAATATTGGCAATATCATTTTAAAGTCGTCTACTTTAAAATGCATAATGTATGTCTGAATTGTCAATATAAATGAGTCAGATAAAATTAAATTATTAGAAGAATTTTTTCACTATGTAACAAAAAACAAAATTTGTTTAATTTACTGTTTGTATTCTGAGAACGATTTCCGAATTGGAAGTTGAAACGTCAATAAACGTATTTTTATCTTTAATTGTGGTTTATTCCCAGTTATAAATAGTAATTAATATACAATGCCACAAGAAAATAGCTTCAGAACAATAATAAACACTTTAATTATAACTAGGCTGATTAAAAAATATGACAATAAACAAACAAACGCCTGATTTTTGGTCTAGTTACATTAATGAATATTGCTTACAAAAACAATCACACTGATACATAAAATGGTCAATATTATCTAATCTAAGGCCGCCTCGGCAGGATTATATAATGAGAACTAAATATTCTAAAATAGTTATCATCGACGGTCAAGTTACGCTAAAAGAGATGAATTCGACTTCTGGAATTTAGCTAAGACACAGGTCTGTAATTATTGGTATGGTATCAAAATATTGTTGTATACACATGTATAATACACAAGCAAATAGTTTTTAATATTTAAAGTTTGGTAGAAGGTTGCAAGGCAATGTACATAGAGTGTTCAGTTAAGTATTTAGGATTAATACTATCAATAAGATGATGACTAAATGGTGAATAAATGTGAAAAGTAGTAATTTTAAGTACATAGAATCTATATATTGAATCAATGAGGAACTATATTGAGATGTACGCAATAAAACCCGAAGCAGGAAAATTTAAATAAAAGCAGAAGTGTTGTATTAAGTGACAGTAATATTCCAATTATACTGAAAAAAACGTTCTATAAAATAAAACTATTCTAAAAATATAAAGAGATTTTATGTCTAAACCTAAATAGTCGTTTTACAAAAAGAAAAATTACCGGATGAGGAAGCTTACAGATAGCACTAATTGATGCCAAAATAAAGGGCAAATTTTGTAAACCTGATCTAAGACCAAATGTGTCTTGTGGCAAACAAAGATCTATTCTTTAATGGAGCTTTAGATGGCTGAATACCTTAGCCATTTAAAATTTTCAGATGATATCGTTCTAATTGCTTATAATCCTGCAGAACTACAAAAACTTATACACAGCTAGCATTGAATTTGGTCTAAAAATTAACTTGATAAACACAAAAAACATATTTAACGAGCTAGGGGATATCCAAAATATAATCACAAACAACACTGCATTCAAGAGAGTAGACTAGTATGTATACCAAAGACAATTATTACATGAATCTGGCTCCTTGCTCCCAGAAATCAATAGATGAATTAAACTGGCTTGGGCATCTTTTGGTAAGAATTTAGTTATATTTAATTTCAGAATGCCACTTTGCCTAAAAAAAAGCCTTCGACTATTGTACACAACCAGTATACCAGTGTAGCCATGACATAGGGCTACAAAACTTGGACTCTAGAGAAAGAAAAGTAATAACAAAACTCAAAGTCAATCAAAGGTCAATTGAGCGATGCATGCTAGGTATAATAAAGAGAGATCGAAAGAAAAATAGAATGGATCAGACAGAAAACCATGTTTACTGATGTATTCCACATAAATCTATCTATCTATCTATATAAGGATTTTTACAGCTGTCGCCGCCTTCCTTCCTTTAGCCAATGTCTCCAGTCCTTTCTGTTCTACCATTCTCCATCTCTGAGGTCCCGTCTTTCCATGGTCTCCTCCACTTCATTCCTCCATGATCTTCGGGGTCTACCTCTTTTCTTCCTTCCTATTGGGCTCCAATTCGAAATCTTTGCTATCCACCTTGTATGATCTGTTTTTCTCACATGTTCATACCAAATTAAACGTTTTTCTTCGATGTAGCTGAGTATGTCTTGTTTTACTCCCATTCTTCGTTTTATCTCCTCATTTCTGATGCGACCTATTTTTGTTACTCTGCAGCTTCTTCTCATGAACTCCATTTCAGTTGCTGTGATTTTGGACCTGTTTCGTTTATTTATTACCCAATTCTCTGCTCCATAGATCATTATACTGCGTAACAAGATGTTTTAAATTCTCTTGTTTGTATTCCTGGTAATCTGTCTATCCCACAGTACCCCGTTCATTTGTTTAATACATGTTTTTGTCTGTGTTAATCTGCTGGTTATCTCTTGCTTGGTGGTTTAATTTGTTGAGAGTATTAATCCTAAATATTTAAATTTTTCAGTGCCGCTAATATCCCTATCATCTTCTATTTCCATGTTTTTCACTGGTTCTTGCTCACTCACATTTCTTTTCTAATTTTCCGAGCATATAGCACAAATCTTCTTCACCTTGAGCCGTTAACACTTGGTCATCATTCTGTGTACTCCACAGAAATAAATCTTTAAAATGACATTAGGTAGAATATTTAGCGAGAAGAACTTACAATATATGTTTCACTAGATTCACACTGTGGTGTCCAAGAAGCATTAAGAGACCAAGGAGACGGAGAGAAGGAGACCATCAAATCGAAGATGGAACTATGACATGAGGAAACAAGCCGGTATAACATGGCACTAAAAAAACAATAATATTAGGTAATTTTGGGCAGAAATGAAGAATAACTATGTAAAGGAGGCTGCACCATACTCGGTAGTACGCTAAGGATGATGACGACGATGATGATATCTTGTGGCGGTGAATGCATTGGTATAGTAAGGAAAGTTTTACCATTAATGAGGAATAAAATAGGATGGCACAATATTATTCACTCAATACCAAGAATCACTAAATTGCAAGTTCCTGAAATGAGAAGGAGAAATCAACGAATTAGGGGAGGCTTAGGCAGTAGATGCTTGTAAAGATGATTTAAATTGGTGTGAGTTATTATGGAAATCAACAGAGAAATGTAATTAAGTTTATACGACTTTGTATAAAAATTAAGGTAAAGAGAAATCTTTCGATTAACATTTTGAGTTTTTAGAAAGCAGTTTTTAAACTAGCAGTTTTTTTTCTAACTCGTAGTTTAAATATTTATTACCATATATAATTTCCCTTACATAATAACTGATGCAAGTTAATAGTATTCTATTTGTTTCTTCACTGTATACGCTCTCATCGTTTAAATCAATAAATTCTTTTACATAAATGTCCTATATTATGTTTGAAGGGTACTATACGTTTGGCATAAATCGAAGATTATTATTGAAAGATATTATAAAAATATTATAATAGGCATGATATCGCTTTTCATTTCTATTTATTCTGATTCTGAAAGCAGGATTTCTTCGATATTACAGTTCTCCGTTTATGGTTATTATAGTTGTCTGTATACAGAAAATCTCCACAAA